TATGGTGCTGGGGGTGCCCAATGGCGGACATGGGGGGGGATGGAGCTGGCGGGCCATGGTGGCTGTGACGATGGCGACTGGGGTGATGGGCTGCAGGGACATGGTGGCTGGGGCATGGTGTGGGCGACGATGGTGGACTGGCGGTGATGGATCTGGGGGAATTGGGTGGCTGGGGGGGTGACGATGGTGACTGGGGCTGATGGATCTGGGCATGGTGGCTGGGGGGTGACATGGCGACTGGGGTGATGGAGGGCGGGATGTGGCTGAGGACATGGTGCTGGGATGACGATGCGACTGGGTGATGGCAGTGGCGGCATGGTGGCTGGACATGGTGCTGGGTGACATGGCGACTGGGTGATGGCATGTTGGATGGTGGCTGGGCATGGGCCAGGAGTTGATGGTTGTCGGCACCCCAGTGGCCCACTGGTGGAACTGGGGTACCTGCAGCGCCAGGATGTAGGATGTTGTGGCACTTCACGTGGGCTCACCCTCGGAGTTCTTCACGCTTTTTTATTTTTCTTCTTCCTGGGCAGGTGCCTTCTTGGATGAGTCAACCTGGAGCGGTCAGTGCCTGTTCCAGTGCTGCAGTGGGGGACACAGGGCCCAAGCCCTGTCAGAATTGTGGCAGCTCCAGAGAACTCAGCCTCTCTCCCTGCCCCAGCTGGCTGCATCTACCCGCATGTCCACACTGCCACCCTGGCTGCCGCTTGTGCCACCAGGCCAGCTCACCTGGTTCTCATGGCAGGGGCCCTGGCAGTACTCAGTGAGGGTCTCCAAGGTCTGGATGACGAGGCCCACATTGTCCTCATTGATGTAGAGCCCCAGCAGCCCCAGGCCACCCGTGGTGCTGCCGCACATGATGTCCAGGAACTGCAGCGTCTCGCACACCAAGTTGTAGTTGGTTTTGTTGTTCTGACAGCGCAGGAAGTTCTGCGGGGCATAGACAGGTTGGGCACAGCACAGCTGCAGCATGGAGTGGGAGGCTGGCCTGGGGAGCACGATCTTGTGTGCTGCAGGGGTAGGGGAACCACTGGCCACAAAGCAGCAGTGCCCAGGCCAGGGCACACATGCCATAGAGGGACACCGGCCACAGTGCCTGGTCTGCATGCCGGCTGGCTGGTGGGGGAAGGGGCAGGTGTGTGGCAAGGCACTCACCTGCAGGTCCCGGTTGTGGTTCTCACACAGCAGCTGCAGAAAGCGCAGGATGGGCTGCATGATGAGCACGGACGTGCCCATCTCGTTGCTCTGCACACGTTCGCTCACCTCGTGCCCCCGGCGCAGGCTGGGGCCCAGCGAGTAGCGGGATGAGGAGCCAGGTATGGAGAAGGAGGCCACGCGGCCTGTGGGCGAGACCTGGTGAGGCTGGAGCTGCCCATCCCCTAGGCCTCCACCCTGCACATCTTATCCTGGGAGCCCCGTCACGCTGTGCCTCTGCCTCAGACCCCTGACCTTTAGTGGTGGGGTCGACTGGCTCACGGTCCTCATGTGGCTGGCTGCCCAGGTCATTCATGTTGACTGCCACGGTGGACTTGGTCTCCTGCTGGGCCCGCTTCATGCGGTCGTGCAGCACCTTGAAGAAGCGCTCTGACTTCTTGTCACTCATCATCAGGTTGTGGAAGGATTTCTGGAGATGGACAGTGGCCAGGGAGCAGCCTCAGCACTGGACCCTGCTCCTACGCAGGGCGTGGAGCAGGCACACCACACTGCTGGGGCCACCGGGGCCGCAGGGGCCTGACTGAAGGCCTGGGTGCTGGCAGCTAGCATCCATGGCCACCCATGGGCGGCTCCATGCCCCATGTCTGTTCCTGCATCACGTGGTCCCTTCACCACCCCAGCATATCCCTCTGCCCCAGCCAGGCCTGAGCCCATCTCCTCATCATCCTGCCCCCATCATGCCCACTCTTCTCACCGCTCAGCCTCTGCTCAGGCCTCCTGCCCTCCTCTTTCACACCCTCCTTGGCCTTCAGTGCCCAACTCAAGGCCCACCTCCTCCAAAAAAGGGAGGGAGGCAAAGGAAAGCATGTCCAGGCCCCAGGCCCCCACACCTGGATCTCTGTGTTGCCACCATCCAGCAGGCGGATGGCCAGGCCAATGCTCTCCTGGAAGATCTTCTCATTCTTGGTGCTGGTGATGAGGTCACATACCAACTTGGTGGCCCCCTCCTTGTCCAGCCGGCACTGGGTGGCTGCGATTGCCGACCAGTCTGGGTCCAGGCCTGCGGGGGGACTCAGTTGAGGGAGAGCTGGTGGGACAGGAGAGCGGAAGGGAGGGCCCAGGGGCAGGGGAAGGCGATACTGACCAGTGCCCATGGGGTCGGGAAGGTCCCCCCGCGAGGTGGACTTCCGGTTCTGGAGGTAGTTTTGCAGCAGCATCTTGCGCAGCTGATTGCCCTGGGGGAGGATGGGAGTGAGGCCCCATTGTGGGTACAGTGCACCATTGACCACTGGCCCAATGGGCTTGACCCTGAGCCCCTGGGCACTCCTGACTGGCCCACCCAGCACTTGCCCCACCAGCGCACTCACCCGGTCCCCGTACTTGGTTTTCTTGAGCAGCATCTGCTGCAGGGTCCGCAGCACCTTGATGCACAGCTTCTCCTCCGACTCCATGAGGTCCTTGGTGTGCTGGATCAGCCTGAGCCAGTCAAGGAGGCAGCTCAGGGCAGCCCCACGCTGCCTCGCTCCAGCCACTTTCCCGCCCCATCCCAGGCAGGAACACCTCCAGGCCCTCTGACCCCGTGAGCCTGTCTAGTCCCCACCGGGCCCTTCCCTGCCCCCAGCCGCTGCACCCCTGCTGCCCCCACGCCCGGTGTCTCGCTCACTTGGACAGGAAGCCCCCACTCTCGCAGCGCTGGTAGGCCTCACTGCCCTCCAGGAAGAGCAGCTCAGGCCAGTGCAGGACGTCCACCAGCACGGACAGCTCAGCCTGCACCAGGGGCTTCAGCCGCTCCTCCAGGGCTGTGATGATGTCCTGGGGTGGGCAGGGCAGGGTCATTGCCAGACGCAAGAAATGACCTGGGTATGACTGCCATTCCCCTGACCCGAACGCCAAACGGCTCCACAGATTGCCCTGCCTCTGTCTGAGGGGCCCACACCCACAGAGACACCCTGAACACAGCATGATGTCTGTCTGCTCAGAGCCCTGGCTGGGAGCTGCAAGGCCTGGCTTCTCTCCCAGCTCTGTGTGACCTTGGGTAAACCCCTTACCCTCTCTGAGCCTCAGTCTCCCGCCACATGGGGAAAATAACCCACCACACCCAAGCTACCGGCCAACGAGATGGCGCACAGAAATGTGCTGCATAGACAGGAGGGTGCTGCAGGGGCCAGGGGTGGTCCCGAGCTCCAACCCCACTAGCAGGCCTCTGGGTTCTCCAGGCTTCCTCTGGAAGGAGGCTCCCCAGTCCCCTGCTGCAGGGCCGGCCCTTAGCAGCCCCAGAGTGGGGAGAAGCCAACCAGCCCCTTCCTGGAAGTGTGAGCAGGACAGGAAGAAACACTCCCCGAGAATTTGCCCCTCCAAAGTAGGGGAGCTGCTGAGTCAACCAAGCAGCTCCCGTGGCAGATGCCAGGCAGCCCCACACCCACCTGCAGCTTCTCAATGATGTTCTTGTAGTCCCACTGGTTAGCGGTGGGGGTGACGCGGGGGAAGGCCCGCGTGGTCGCCTTGTAGCTGGAGGCGTTCCGCTGGGCGGCAGCTGCACAGCTGGCTCCACTGCTGAGCATCGAGCTGATGTGGGCGTCCAGGTCCATGGGCAGCGAGATGGCCCGGCCCTTGGCTGGGTGGGAAGGGAGGGGGTGCTGGTGCAGGGGCAGTTCAACCAGCCAGAGGCCAGGCTCAGGGCTGCCACACCAGGAGACAGAGTGAACTAGACTGAGGGTCTGGGGGACAGAGACCCCCCACCCTGGCCTACACTTGAGGGACTGAGAGGCTTTCTTCCCCTTGTTGGGTAAAAGGAGAGTTTCTGCCTCTTTGATTACCCCCTGGCTCTACCCTGACTTCCCCCTCCTTTCTCTCACCTGTCTTCTCCTCTTCCCCAGCTGTCCCTAACAATCCACAGGCCTCCCTCCTGCCTGAGCCCATCTGCAAATACCCATAAAAAACTCTAGCTGGAGAATGTCGGCCAGCATCCTTCTCTGGGGAACTGACTCAGAGGAGAAAACAGCTTCTCTCAATTGCCAGGATGCCAGGCAGACACCAAGAAGGACTTACTGAGAACCACCTGGGAGCAGGAGATGGGCGAGCTTAGGGATAAAGTGTTTATTAGGAGGGCAGGCGTCCCCATTGTGAGCAGTGGAAGGAGTGGTTTGGAGCTGGTCAGTACCCCGGCACACTCACCCACCATGGCGAGGGTCCGGATGCAGGCCTCCACAGAGCCCTTATGCTGCTGCTGTAGCCACGGACACTCGAGGAGCCGTGTGGTGGACTGCAGCAGCTGCACCACAATCGTCTGGTGTGTCTGCAAGAAGTCACAGAGCCCGCTGTTGCAGCCCAGCCCCGCACCCTGGGCAACCCAAGGTCCAGGAACCAGGGCCCAATCAGAATGGGCATGGGTGGAGAGACGGAGCCTTCACTAGCCACCATATGCCTTTGTGCTGGTTGGAAAAAGGTACTTGCATTCCCTTCAGCAGTGCACGACCTGCCCAGCTGTACACGGCAGGCCTGTAACTCCCCAAGGCTGTGGGCTCATAGCCATGTTGCTGACTCTTTCAAAAAATGTTTAAATAAATTAATGTTGTAAAAAGATGCTGGATTTACATGGTTCAAAAACCAAAAGGTTATTTAAAAGATAACACTTTGAGGCTTGGCACAGTGGCTCACACCTGTAATCCCAGCACTTTGGGAGGCCGAAGTGGGT